TGGAAAAAAAAAAAAAAAAAAAAAAAAAAAGACGCTGTTATGGCTAATCAGATGTGTATGTTTACCCGTCAAATCGCATAGCAACTGCAGAAGCTAGGAATAGAAACATATTTTGAAGTAGGAACAAGAATAAAAGAGAAAATAATATTGAGGAATTAGTAAAAGTAATAAAATTATTTATTAAAATTATTAAATCAGGTAAGAAATGTTTCGGTCCATTAAGTCGTATACATTTTTTACCATTACCACAAATTGAAATTTCAAGCACATCTGAAAGTAATGAATTTGAACTTCGGTTCACGTCTGCCTTCTAGACCTGCGATTTTCATTACAGTACGCAGTTGAATTAAACAGTGAAGTGGAAATCCAGTAGCTGATTTAACTACACAGTACTGAATGTCCTGGGGTTAGTGCTTGGAGTTCAGGGGTGTCCCATCCAAACCACGTGCTTTTTTCTGCCTGAGGGAGTGAGATGCGGATGTTCGATTGAGGCTTCGATGCATGTATATTTCCACTGGGCAAGATTTCCAGTGATTTATTTGTTCAAAATCCCAGGATAATTGTCTGATGTATAAGGTAACGAGAGTTCCTCTATGTGAAGCAACAGCATCGAGCGCCAAAGGAATTTCTTGGGAGGGGAATTCATTTACAGCATAGATAAATTTTTTTTTCCGCCTTCCTACTTAATTAAGTTCCATTGAGATGCAAGCAGAGAGCGCTGGTATTATGAAACTGTGTAAATTTTTTATTCACCTAGTGCATAACTGACAGCAGTATCTTTAGACGATCTGTTTGTTGCTGGCGTACAAGGTGAAATATCCCGAGAATTTCTTCCTTTTACGCGGCAATCACGAATGCGCTAGCATTAATCGCATTTATGGATTTTATGACGAGTGTAAGTCATTTTACCGCATAATCCAAAAATCTCGTTGGGGAATAGGGCTAACAGCGAATTTTAGGAATTGTTAAGGCATAGCGAATTGCATTCCTGGCAATTTTTGGACATGCCAAATCGATTTTGACAAATTATTTTGGATACCAGTGGGGGGAGGGCGAATACTGGCCAATTTCGTGCCGACAAGACCGCGATGTGCAGTGCAGCAAGCAAAAAAATCTTAAATTTGATCGACATAAACATAAGTTACAAGTAAAAAAAAAGGAAATCATAAAATGAGTTCTGAGAAGTCATACTATCGGCAGTCTTATGCGATTGCGTAATTTTGGTCATGCAACAAAACCATCCGTATTTTCATCTCGGGAAAAAATCTACCATTTTTTTTTTTTTTTGCTGCGCTCCTATTCGTGTTTTATTTAGAATTAATTATTTTCAGGTAAACGTCGCTTCTCAATCAAACTATGGAAAACGTTTACGGATTGCTTCAACTGTCTCCCAATAGCAGCTTTGATAGATGAAAAGATTTTTTGCTGCCATGGTGGCCTCTCTCCGGATTTGCAAAATATGGAACAGATTCGTAGAATCAAGCGACCAACTGATGTCCCCGACACTGGTACCGTTTGCTTTTTTCATCATTTATTCCTTGATGATGTATTAGAAGCCGATTGTAGCATCCAGGTTGACCTTGAATGCCAAAGTGTCGAAGGCGTATTGAAGACACAAAGCAGAAAAGAATGGGAAGGGGGCAGAAATGAGATGATACGTCTTTATACGTCTTTACTCAACACTCTGACTGAACCTCGTCAACATAACGGTCGCAGTGTTTAATGGAAGAGAGAGAGAAAAGAGAAGGAGATAAAGAAAGACGCAAGGGAAACAAGGGAAGGGCTGTGATTGTGGGATTAGGAGGGGGGAGGGGTGAGAATGGGGTGAAGAAGGAAAAGCCTAAGTGTCGAATTGCCACGCAAAATTCCTCTCTGCAACTGCATTATCAAATTCCAAAGATATGTTGTAGTGTTATTGTACATTTCCAGTCAAAAAAAAATTTTTATTCTTTCTCGCATTAGTCGCTATTATTCTCATTCCAGGACTTCTATGTGACTTACTGTGGTCTGATCCAGACAAAGACGTCCAGGGTTGGGGCGAAAACGATCGAGGTGTGTCGTTCACGTTTGGCCCAGATGTTGTCGCGAAATTTCTAAATCGTCATGATTTAGATCTAATTTGCCGCGCACATCAGGTAAGTACAGTGATATTCAGCGTACCAGATGATTGTTGTTTTTCGTGTTACTGATAAACTAGAAATATAAATTTGATGAAAAAGCAATCTGGCACGGTTAGTCAGAATTTTTATGCGGTTTTTGCAGCAATGCAATGCGGAAAACGCATATTGACGAGAGGTTGTCTGTGTGTCCGTGTGTCTG